AGAAGACACATTGACAGTCAAAGACCTACATGTTATGAGCTATCAGCTGGAGCAATAAGATTGTTTTAATATGATTAATGGCATACAAAGAAAAACATTGCTTGTATTGACCTCTTGAGTCCCTGAGAGCAGAGAGCATCAACAGCAGACAAGAAACAACTCTATCTATTCCTTATGCCCAACTTTTCAGATAAACTCGATGTCTTGAAGGTAGAATCATGGTTAGATCACTCTGTTCTTTAACAGATCTTTACAAGAGACTGGATTGTAGTTGAACAAACCCTTCTTAAGCAGTCTCCTTATTAAGTGATCAGAAATTACAGTGAAGATTGTGGCATAGGTGCATATATTAGATAGGGGGTAACATCAATATGATTAACAGAAAATGTTATCATGTGAGCCAAATGTATGAAGTATTTCAATAGCACAACAATATGACAGACATCTGAACTATGGTTTCTAGAGCTGCTTCAGAGGATGGCATTTTTGGAGTCCATTTTCAGGCTTTCTGATATGTGGAGGATTGAAGTGAATAGTAAAATAAGGAAATACCATGAAATTATCATTTTTCCAAAATGGCTTTCTATAGCCCAGAGGCTAATCATATTAGATATATGATTAATATTTGGTCAGAAAACTTGGAAGTGGGTCACACAGTTAACTAGCAGATGATGGATTAAAAAAATGAGTGATAGAAAAAGAGTGAAACTATTTTGAGAGAGTCCCATTCATTGATCTGGTCTTCTGTGACTGGTAGTACGCGATGTATTCCAAATGCTATATAAAATTCTCTTAGTCCATTGTATATCCCATATGCCCACACAATAATGTTCTATAGAGTATATAAAATAGAGAAGAGAGCCTAATGCTATCATTAAAAGACTTCTTCATCTCAAACTGTCAAAAAAGTTTACCTTTATAGAAAAATTATATTCAGGGTATAGAACAACTTGATACACATTGTTGAATGTTTAGACTAAACAAATGAAAGAAAATTAAAGCAAACAAGTATTATTAGCTTCTGATTCATTATCAAGATACTTGTAAACTGAAATATAAATATAATAAGACTATGAGTACATAAAGAACACACATCACTTCCCTTCCAAATGAGTAGTCTTCTCTCCCTACTAAAATGAGTGGTCTTGTGGGCCAATCTTTATCCAAGTATTGCCATTCAAATTGTCATCATAACACTTAAGAGTTAATATCATATTGAGACAAAATGCAGCAGTTCATACTTCTTTAGAACTGCTGTTTCAGGCTGACAGGGGATGGTGAAAAATATTTCTGTTTGTTTCTCTTTGAAAACTGTTTTTGTTCAAAATTATAAAATTGTAAGGACTAGATATTTAGACAGTTTAAAATTAGAGCTTATATTATGAAGCCAAATTTTGCACTGGGGAGGGAAGGAGAGAGGGGGATACTGAAACCTGGAAAGAGTTCCAGATTCTGCCAACTGTGGATATTTATATCTCAACCTTGAGTTAAACCTCTTATTGAAACAAGTGTATGGCAAACAGTCAATTAAAAACATGCTTAATAAATGTGATTCGAATGGTGCCATCCAATGTCGGTTCCTATATAGTGAATACCTCTAAGTTTCCAAAAACTACTGAGAGATACTGGGATGGAGATTCCATGGCTAAGTACAGATGTTCAGAGGGCCTGGGGGGAGGTTATATTGTGTTAAAAAAGGCCAGCTGATCTAACGTAGGTCACCCATTACACCTTTGACTTTACACTTAGATCCCTCATTAAGTTGATCTAAGTGCAAACTGTACAGAAGTTCCAGGAAAGTCAGACTGGTCTAAAAATGGCTGACCCAATCTAAGTTAACCCTACTCTAAATTAGTTTTTCTTAGATTGGGTTGACCATTTTTAAGCCAATCTAACTTTCCTGAGCATCTGTACAGTTCCCAGCAGAGCCCTAGGGCTGGGAAAACTCAGCTGCTAACCCTAGTTCCCAGGGCTGCTCTTTTCCAACCCACCCCCCTGGCACTGGATTATTTCTAGTCCCCAACCCCTCACTCTTCTCCCTGCCCCCACCCCATGGACCAGCCAGTCCAAACTCATCTGTTGCTGAGATCCCAGGAGACCCCTTGATCCTGCAAAACTCTTCCTGGATTCCAGCAACTCCCTGTGGTCACAGCCTACACCCCCAATCCCCCTGATCACTCCAGCAGATCCTTTCTTCCCCTTGATTCCTCCCACAGACTCTGCTAGCCCCTCTGATCCTTGCCACAGATGCTGTCTGCCCCCCAATCCTTTGGATCCTGCTAGCTCCCCCAATCATCCTGAGGACTCCACCTGCCCTCTGACCCCCCTGTGGTCCACCTGAGTCCCTCCCCATCCTGTCTTACCTGTGATCATGTGGCTGTTTTTAACTTGATCGAAACTCCCCCTAATCTTCCCGAATGTTTATTCTTAGCCTTTGTCAACATGCAAAGAGTAAAATAATGACCAGCATACTGAGGGAACAGGATTTTGTGGCCCTTGAATAATAACCTGAAGTCATTAATATAATTTACCATAAATACTACACTTTGAATTAATCATGTTCTCAGAGATAAGCATGGAATACCGAGCCTTAACAACATCATTTAATATTCCATCTCTATATTTCCTCATTAAAAAATAAGATGTGTATTACAAAACCCTCAGCACTAGTGTCAGCTCTTGTTATCTAGCGATTGTAGAGCCCCTGTTGTGGACCCAAAAGAATGTGCATAGAAAAGGACAGGTTAGAAAAAGGGAGTTTTTAAAGTTTCCTTTATTGCTGTTCTGTGAAGATTATATGGTTGTTCCCAGTTGGTAGATATAAAAAAACAGGCAGAGACAGTTTAGGAAAAAAGAAAGATTGACAAGTACTGTGGGTAAGAGAAAAAGTAGTTCAGCTGTTAGAGAGAGAATTTCTTCTGATGCAGCAGTATGTGAAAAGAGAAGATCACATTTTATTACAATATCAATAAAAAAAGGAGAAAAAGAATAAATTTCTTAAAATTCCATGTATTATTCAAGAACTGGTCTCCCAGTTTAAGATATGTGTTAATTTCATGATCTCTCATTCTGTTAAGATATATAACCAGACTCTGTACTGATCTCAGGACTGGCATTGAGAAACTATTACTGCCCATACATTTCTTTTCTAGTCAGTCCCAGACCCAGGAACAAGGAAACATAGGACACATCTACACATGTGCTTTAATGCACAGTTGACAATTTTACTGTGCATTAAAACATCACATAAAAAAAACAACAATCTTATTAAAACAGTCTACTGCTCATTAGGTGTCACTAAAAAAGGTACTTCACATTGAAGGTACTAAATGTGGGGTCATTGCAAGTCCTCTGGCATGGCTTTATGAACACTCGTGGTGCTCTGGAGAGGTGCCGGAGGACTGG